AGCAGCTGAGGATGAAGAGAGGCAAAGCAAAGAGCCCAGCTCAGCTGCAGCAAAGCAACAATTAGCTGGAGACGAGTGGCAGCTGTCCCCTTCAGCTGTGGGCTATGTGGTCACCAGGTTGCCTTGGACTCACCACACACTCCATGAATTTATGGCTCCTGCCTAGCCGCTGTTAGTGCTAGAGTTCCCAAGCTCAGAAATAAGAAACACACAAGCTGAACAATCAACTTTTGCCTTATTTGTATTAGTTTCCTGTTCTTGTTGTCATAAATTACTACAAATTTGATGGCTTAAAATAGCACAAACTTATTATCTGACAGTTTCGCAGGTGAAAAGTCTGACATGAGTCTTGCTGGGCTAAAATCAAGGTGTCAGCAGGGCTATATTCCTTTCTGGATGCTGCATGGGATAATCCATTTCCCTGCCTTTTCCCACTTCTAGAAGCTGCCCACATTTCTTGGCCTGTGAATCCTTTCTCTATCCTCAAAGCCAGCAACACAGCATCTCTCTCTGGCCCTGCTTCTGTTCTCACATCTCTTTCCCTGACTGTCCTTTCCTGCCTCCCTCTTCCACTTATGGGATTCTTGAAATTACACTGGGCCCACCCCCATAAGTGAGGATACCCTTCCTCCCGCCAATTAGTGATTTTAATTCTTCTTTGCCACATAAGGGACCATTGACTGGTTCCAGGGATTAAGACATGGACATCTTTGAGAGGCCATCAATTTCTCCTATCACATCAATCAATCAATGTGTATTTCACAAATTATGAAAGAAAGTGTAAAGCATGTGCTTTTTGTTTTATAACATATGGACTCCTAAAAAATGAGTTGTTGTTTGTAAGGCAAATTAAAGCCGAAAGGTATTAAACTGAAGGAATCTGTGGTAAATTATTCTGTAAAGATATTAATTTCCTAACATCTTGTTTTATGGATCCAGATTTTGGGACATTTACTTAACGTGGGGCTAAGGCTTGAGTGTGGGTAAAACCATCATTCTTTCATGCATTTATTTATTTATTTTAGAGACAGCATCTTATTCTGTCACCCAGGCTGGAGTGCAGAGGTGCAATCATAGTTCACTGCAGCCTCGAAATCCTGGGCACAAGTGATCCTCCTGCCTTGGCCTCCCAAAGTGCTGGGATTATAGGTGTGAACTCCCTGCCTATTCTTATTCAAGTATTTTGAGAATGTGTGGGAAGGGAAATGCAGTCAAAAACTATACAACCATATTCTGATAATCCACAGAGAAACGTAACTTTCACACATACATTTCTGAACCTGATCACTCTGGTAGAAAATATATTTTAATAAAACCTTGAGTCTCATTCAGCTGGTGAGCACTGATAGTATACTGGTTAAGAGCACAGGATGGATAAAGAAAATGTGGCACATCTACACCATAGAATACTATGCAGCCATAAAAAAAGGATGAGTTCATGTCCTTTGCAGGGACATGAATGAAGCTGGAGACCATCATTCTCAGCAAACTAACACAAGAACAGAAAACCGAACACCACATATTCTCCCTCATAAGTGGGAGTTGACAAATGAGAACACATGGACACAGGCAGGGAAACATCACACACCAGGGCCTGTTGGGGGGTAGGGAGCAAGGGGAGGGATAGCATTAGGAGAAATACTTAATATAGATGATGGGTTGATAGGTGCCACAAACCACCATAGCACATGTATACCTATGTAACAAACCTGCACGTTCTGCACATCTATCCCAGAACTTAAAGTATTAAAAAAAAAAAAAAAAAGAGCATAGGTTCTGACATCAGCCTACCTAGGTTCAAATCCTACCTCTGAAAACTTGGAGCTATGTGACCTTGGGTTAATTACTGAATTTCTCTGAGCTTCGCTTTCTATATCTGCAAACTAAGAATAATTACCAGTATCTATTGCATAGGGCTGCCATGAGAATTAAACGAGATACACAATATAAAACACCCAGTATGGTGCCTGGTACATATTAAGTCCTCAATAAATGGGTTCTCTCATTATCACCACTTGCTGAGGCCCATGCTTAGGTGCAGGAGATATACAGGAAGCATCTACAACTTGGACTCATTATTTTCAGGGATTGAAAATGAAAGCAAGAACAGGACATGATCACCAAAGGGAAGGCAGCAGGCAAAATATTAAATTAAGATAAAATTTGAGTCTTCCCTGGGTAGATACCCATGGTTTCTACTTGCAGCCTGTGCAAAAGATAGAATGACCTTCAATACTTAATGCAACTGTGAATCATCGTCAGAAAACCACATGATCTTATATTAAATATCTGAAAGAACAGTTATATTTGGTATCAGAGCATAATTTGTTTTTTTGCTCAGAATCCTCATGTAGCTTGTTTTCCTTTTGGATTTTAATGGCTCTTTACAGCCTCCCAAATAAGTGAACCTCATGTCCAACCTGTTCAAGGCTCTGCACAATGTTATCCTTTTTTAAAAAAAAATTATTTATGTATTTATTTTTGAGATACAGTCTCCCTCTGTTGCCCAAGCTGGAGTACAGTGATGCCATCTTGGCTCACTGCAACCTCTACCTCCTGGGCTCAAGGGATTTTCCCAGGCTCAAGGGATTCTCCCACCTCAGCCTTTTGAGTAGCTGGGACTACAGGTGTGTACTATCATGTCTGGCTAATTTCTGTATTTTTTTTTTTTCTGTAGAGATGGGGTTTCACCATGTTGTACAGGCTGGTCTTGAACTCCTGACCTCAAGCAATCCACCCCCCTCGGCCTCCCAAAGGAGGAGGGACTACAGATGCGAGGTACTGCACCCAGTCCAATTTTATCCTTTTCAAACATTTCAACTTTTATCTCACATAAACCCCTTATGCAAACTCACTATACTGCCAAACTACAAAACTTTCTAGTTAGGCTGTTCTGACTGCACCAAAGTACTGCTTTCTGTAGTAGCTAAAGTAGTATATTTCTTGTCTAGTCTACAGGCTGAAATCAGGAACCCCATCTTAGATATCTACGTATTTCCCCATAGTGCCTAATACGTAATAAGTATCTAATTAATATTTGCTAAAGAAATGTATTACCTGTCCTTCTACTCATTAAGATCATTTCTACAAATGAACCTTTGATGTCCTTTTTTTCAAAGCTATTTTCCTCATTCAACTGACAGCTTCCTTTTTAAACATCCTGATTCACCAGATAATCATTACATTTATTTAAAAAGTTGCACTTCCAAATTTATCCTCATGTTTTAGATTTTTTAAATTCCATACATCTGTGAGAATCCTCTCCTTAAAGCCTTACTTTATTTTTTTTTGCTAGGGCTCTTTATAAAATAAATATTGTTTCCAGATAGGCTGCTTATACCAATATCCTTAAAATGATAGAATAATATAATAACTACTTCCTACCTTCATGGTTACTGTGATGGTGCTATTTACATTTGCTTTATGCAACCAGCCTTGTTTTATCACACCACCCTTCTGAGAACATAAAGAAGATGAGTCCTGAAATAGAATAAAAATTATCAGTAAAACAACAGCCAGTCTGACATCTAGTTAGCCAAACATTTAGGGGCACAGAATGAGGCCCTCCCCCATTTCCTGATTAAAACATAAAGTCCCCTCTTCCCCATGAGGATTTAAAATAGTTGACTGTAGAATGAAAGGCTCTGTGCTATGCATACAGTAGGCACTCAGTATTTACTGAATAGTATGGGCTCTCTTCTGGGAAAGTCTTCTGTATTATGTAAACAGTCGAACTGCACCTCAAAATGTCACAGATATCTGGGCCGTCTGTCCCAAGAGAAATCTGTCAGGCAGCAGAGTCCAGATGAATCACCATTCCACATGCCCAACTTGAGAAAAGCAACTCCACGAGCATGTCCCACAGGTGGGGGAACATGTTTATGTGCAAATCACAGCCCCTCTCACTTGATTTTTTCCCTAAACCCTACTTGGAAATACAGCAATTAAAAAAAAAAATTAAAAAGCACTCAGTTGGAAAGCTGGCCACAGGTCATTCCAAAACAATTATTCCCTTCATATTTTCTCAAGAAATTCCCTTTGAAATCTTTTCCAGCAAAGTGACTGTGAAAAAACTAGCACAGTTACCCTCACTGTTGCCCTCATTCTTACCTCATCTTTCTCACAGTCTTCATCTATCTCAAATACATGATTAGGAATCTTTTCTGGTCTCAAAGATTTGCTGAAAATATAAGAGAACTGTCTTAGACAACAGAACAGACCAAGAAACAAACAAACAAAAACCAGAAACACAACAATAATGACAACAACAGATAAAGCAAGATGAGCAGACTTCTCTCTTTCACAAAGAAGAAAAAGCCAAGACATCCTATTCTCCTTTCCAAATTCAGATTCTCCCCTTTGAGTAAACTTACTGTAAGTTTTTGTTTCTATAAAGACTCCCACATATGCGGCCAGCAGCAAAGACATTAACTAAGCCCAGAAACTCAGGGAGGGCAGAAGTTGCTAAGGAACCTGTGCCAGAGCTGTTACCTTTTCCTTCCCTGGGTCAAAAAGCAGGCCAGGCACCGTGGCTCACGCCTGTAATCCCAGCACTTTGGGAGGTCGAGGCAGGTGGATCACCTGAGGTCAGGAGTTTAAAACCAACCTGGCCGACATGGTGAAACTCCGTCTCTATCAAAAATACAAAAAAATTAGTCGGGTGTGGTGGCAGGCACTGGTAATCACAGCTACTCGGGAGGCTGAGGTCGCTTGAACCTGGGAGGCGGAGGTTGTGGTGAGACAAGATCATGCCACCTGCACTCCAGTCTGGGTGACAGAGTGAGACTCTGTCTCAAAAAGAAAAAAAGAAGTAACACAGTATAATTCTGGTTCTTCCATTTGTTTGTTGTATGACCTTGGACTGGTCATTTTAGGACTCTTGTTTCGTTTTTCTTTTTTTTCCCAAGGATCATGCCATCATATAGGACTCAATTTTCATCTCTTGGAAAATGCTCTGAAAACTACAAAAAGCTACACAAATGTCTTATTCCTCTGCTATTTGTTCCAAAAACATTTCTCATATGACATCCTGTGAACTATCAGTACTGGAGATGAGAAAATGGAGAGCTCAAACAGGTTAAGTGACTAAGTCATGATCATCAAGCTAGCAGGTGGCAGAAATAAGATTTGAACCCCAACGGTCTGGCTCCTGGGCCAGTGTGCTCATGCCAATCCTTCAATGCAACTGAAAGAGATGCACTTTTTTCAAGGGATGTCTGGGTTCATCAAACTGAACTAATTATCATCAAGCTTTTTTACTGACACTACTGGAAAATGCTCACTACATTATCCACCATCAGCCAAATTTTAGTTTATGATCAATACAGGTTCACTAAAGCCAAAAAGTAAGCTCTCATACATTTTGGAAAGCATTTCAAAGAGGAAAGTTAAAACATTCAGTTAACGAAAACACTGAAGTTAACCAAACATGCAGGTTATTTGAAGTTTGGCTTTATTACAAATTATAACTGAAAGGTTTCACAAGTGGTTTTCAAAAGGTAAAAAAGCTTAATAATTCTCCTGCTGCATGTTTCCCTGGAATGCTAAACTTACCATGGCAACATTCGAAAGTCCCCAGAGAAGTCCTCATATTTGTAGTTTACCACGTGCCAATCTGTGCTGTAGGTTTTAATACACTGAAAGAAAATAGGAATCTTGAATTCGAAACATAGGAAAAGTACATATATATCCACTTTTTAAAAGTACTGGTACTATGCTGACAGGCTTTTTAAAACCATCTGGTGTAATCCCAGCACTTTGGGAGGCCGAGGCGGGCAGATCACCTGAGGTCGGGAGTTCGAGACTAGCCTGGCCAACAAGGTGAAACCCCATCTCTACTAAAAATGCGATAATTAGCTGGGCATGGTGATGCACATCTGTAATCCCAGCTACTCGGGAGGCTGAAGCAGGAGAATTGCTTGAACCCCGGAGGCAGAGGTTGCAGTGAGCCAAGATTGCATCATTGCACTACAGCCTAGGTGACAGAGCAAGGCTTCATCTCCAAAAAAAACCCCCACTATTTGGGAATTATTGGTACTGGGATCTTCCTTTATGGATTAACTCTGTCTCTCTTACCCAGTTGGTGGCAATAAATCCAAAGTCATATGCCCTTTGAATACTCTGACTCTCAGTCCAAAGAGTATTCAAATCCAAAAGAAAAACACTGAGGTCATATGCACCGTGTGGAAATGTTTAAGCTTTATCAGCTGCATCACATCATATAGACTTGTTATTTAGGCCAAATTAATGTTAGTAATTTTATTTTACCTTTACATTAAAGGAAGACTACTTTAAATATTTTACATTTATTTATTTATAAATAGGTTACAAATATATATATACAAATACTATATGTGTGTGTGTGTGTGTGTGTATATATATATATATATTTTTTTTTTTTTTTTTTTTTTTTTTTTTTTTTGTTTTTTTTTTTTTTTTTTTTTTCCTGAGATGGAGTCTCGTTCTTGTTGCCCAGGCTGGAATGTAGTGGCGTGATCTCGGCCCACTGCAACCTCTGCCTCCTGGGTTCAAGCGATTCTCCTGCCTCAGCCTCCCAAGTAGCTGAGATTACAGGCACCCACCACCACACCCGGCTAACTTTTGTATTTTTAATAGAGATGGGGTTTCATCATCTTGGCCAGGGTGGTCTTGAACTCCTGACCTCATGATCCACCCACCTCGGCCTCCCAAAGTGCTAGGATTACAGGTGTGAGCCACCACGCCCAGCCAAATATTGTATATATTTTAAATACATGAAGAATATTCTTCTGTGGACTTTGAGTCTCTCACCTCTTTGACAAATAAACTCTGGGCCCTCTTTTCAGCATCTTCTGGTACAGTGGACTGCACCGTTCTGCGCTGACGACCTATCACCGAGATCTAGAACACAAAGGACATTCTTGCTATAAGAGCTGGCTTGGAAAATAGGGGTTTTTCTTTAAAGAAGTGCGTGTGAACTCACAGAGATATCTTCCATGGGAAACATAAGCAGATCTCTGAGGGGGTCGCTGTAAATCTGGGTTTTTCTTTGGGCGATAACATTCTCATAGTCCAGGGGCTCAACAATTTTGGCCTTTTCCTTTATAAGAGACAAAAACAAAGTTATTATAGTCAAACGCACAAGTTAAATTCCCTTCTATGTACTAAAGATACATTACTTCACAAAAGAAGGGATTACTGATACTTTTAAGTACTTAATGGAGACACTTTCACACTTCATAGCTAGACACACACCCCAAACATATACATACACACACAGACATTCCCTTGCTAAAGATAAAGAGTTCTGGCTAGGCATGGTGGCTCACGCCTGTAATCCCAGTACTTTGTGAGGCTGAGGCAGGTGGATTGCTTGAGCCTCGGAATTAGAGAACAGCTTGGGCAACGTGGGAAAACCCCATCTCAACAGAAAGTACAAAAATTAGCTGGTTGTGGTAGTGCATGCCTATAGTCCCAGCTGCTCGGGAGGCTGAGGCAGGAGGATCACTTCAGCCTGGGAGGTCGAGGCTGCAGTGATCCATGATTGTGCCACTTATACCGGGTTGCCAGAGCGAGACTCTGTCTCCAAAAACAAAACAACAACAAAAAAGTTCTGGAGAAATACAATTGTGTTATTCTGCTTATCTGTGTACCTTCTAAAAATTATTGAATTTTAAGTAAAACAAAAAAATGGTATACTTGGAAGTCTGCCTGTTGGTATTTACTGCATCTGCACTACTCTATGGGCAACTTTGGGGGAGAAAGTATCAACATTCATGTTCCTACCCTATACCAGTGACACTGTCCCATGGGCGTACTAACTGCCAGCATAGCTGGGGCAGGCATAAGTACTAGATAGAGATGCTTGATCCCATGGGCAGGTTATGAAAAGGTGAGGTTCAAGGTGACAAAATCAGTGGATCCCTGCTGGACTTTTAGGCAAGCTGGTCACTGATAGTAGGGCCCAGCCTGAAGCTAAAGTAAGTAGAAGCAGGGTCAGTCATGCTAAGAAAGCCAGGATGTAACATAATAAGCATAATGATAAAGTTCACATGTACTGAGCCCTTTCTATATGCCAGGTACTATGCTAAGCACTTTCTGTACATTTTTTCATGTAATACTCACAGCAACCTATGAAACAGGTTGAATCATTATCCCCATTTTACAGATGAGGAGACCCTGGGCCTAACTCAGGTTGAGTAACTTGCCTGTCTTTATAACTGGAATTCAAATGCAGATCTGTGACTGCAAAGGCTCTGCTTTCTTCCCCCTCAGAAATACATAAAGACAGCTCCCATTTCTGTACACCCATGGGTGACCCTGCAGCTGTGTGTATACATGCAACGGACCTCAACATCTATCATCATTAGTTTTTACTGTCACAGGTGTGCATGTCATAAGACCCAACTCCCAAAGCTATATGAGGTGACCCTGACTTCCACTGGCCATCACTACTGTACTGCATCCACAGCTCATGCACCCACAGCTGTCACATGTGCACAGCACCAGCCCTGACCCCTGCAACAGCAGAGGGGAGAAAAAGAAGAAAGAAATATACCAAGATTCTCATGTACATGGTACTGAACTGGGAATGGGATCCCACTATTTATCTTCCTATCATTTTTTTCCTTCATTGAACTTACCACAATCTGATATACCATCTATGTCACCTCTCTGACTATTTAAGGGCAGAGATTTTTAAAAATTTGTTTACTGCTTTAACCACAGCACCTATAATAACCTGGCACATGGTAGGCATCTAGTCATTAATTGCTGATGAACTTTGAGATACTCAAATTCAACAAGAGCCATGTCTCAACACACTATTCTAAACCAAGCTGGGCAGACAGTAGCAATTTTTAATGATGATGTTTTATATAAAATTATTTCCTTAAAATTTTCTAATAAAAACTGTATTAAAAAACTCAAATGTAATTTATATTAAGACTTAATATTATAATAGAATTGGGGTTATACTTGTATTTGTGTACATAGTATCTTAAGTAATCTCTAGTAACACTACATCCATAGAAGCCTTTGAGAATAGTTTTTACACATGGTCAAAACAGGTCACAGCTATACCCAATTTCCATATCTGAAGGACATCTCAGAGTTTCCTGTAGAAGATTGCTTAGAAAGATTAACGTAAACCACTCTGACCAATGACGTCAGTGTTCAACAAGTTTAAAAGATCCTAACAAAGATATGCTTTATTTCAAGTCTTAAATTTGTATTTGTAGACCCATGTCTACAAAGATCAAAGCAAGTCGATCATCCTTCTCATGTCTGCAAATACTACTGCAAAATGAGTTGAAATAAAAGAAAAAATCCTGTTTGAGGAATTCAGGTTTTCTGAAAGGAAAATCTGACCCCTTTCAGCCATACCTACTGTGTTTCCATGGACTCAAACAAAAGGAAACTGACTGCATCTTCTAGCTCTAACACTCACAGTCTGAGACCAATTTCTCAGAGAAGTTGAATGAATAAAGTCCTATCAAAGAAAGCAAGCTAGAGGCACTAAAAATAATCTAAGTCTTGCTTTTTGTGCCAACTATTTCCCTAGTACGGATTGTAAAAACAGTCCTCAAATTTCAATGTTTCACCTGTTGAATCTGTCAACTTCTCTGTACAATAATTTCACAAGTATGTACTTCAAATATATTTGAAAAAGAAAAAAAAAAAATAAAGAAAATCCCCCTTCAGCTTTCTTTTTCTTTCTTTTCTTTTTTTTTTTTTTTTTTTTTTTTTTTTTTTTTTTTTTTTTTTTTTTTGAACTGGAGTTTTGATCTTGTTGCCCAGGCTGGAGTGCAATGGTGCAATCTCAGCTCACTGCAACCTCCACCTCCCGGGTTCAAGTGATTCTCCTGCCTCAGCCTCCTGAGTAGCTGGGATTACCGGCGTCTGCCACCACACGCAGCTAATTTTTCTATTTTTAGTAGAGATGGGGTTTCACTGTGTTGGTCAGGCTGGTCTTGAACTCCTGACCTCAGGTGATCCACCCGCCTCAGCCTCCCAAAGTGCTGGGATTACAGGCATGAGCCACCATGCCTGGCCCTCCTTCACCTTTCTAATGTAGCTCCAAATTAATATGAAAAGAATATGTCAAAATGAATCACTGTTTATTTTTTTAATGTATGGGGTACAAAGTGGTGTTATGATTTTTAATACAATGTAGAATGATTAAATTAAGCTAATTATCATGTCTGTCACCTCAAATATTTAAAATTTCTTGTGATGAGAACATCAGAAGTTCATTCTTAGTGATAAGATGTACAGTACTCAACTATTAGGTATATTCAGCATGCTATACTATTGCTCTCAAAAAAACAAAACTTATTCTCCCTGTTTAACTGAGACTTTGTATTCCACCATTGACCATCACCTCCCCAGTGCCTCCAGCCCCCACCCTCTGGTAACTACCATTCTATTCTCAGCTGGTATGAGTTCAATTGCTTTAGATTTCACATATAAGTGAGATCATGCAGTATTTGTCTTTCTCTATCTGACATATTTCACTTAGTGTAATGTTCTCCAATTCCTGAATCACTCATTTATTTAAATGTATAGTGTATACCTTCTAAAAATAAAACACAGCTTGCCACATATTTTGAAGGTCATATATTTATGTTATAGAAAACAAGGTTTCACTTTTCATTTAAAACTGATTAAGCATTCTGGGTCTTCATGCCTACTTCCTTTGTCAGGGGTAGCTCAATTGCAGAAAAGTTAGGGTGGCTATTCTGGGTCCCACAAAGCTTCCCCTAATACAAGATTTAGGCCTGTGAATCAGGATTCATCTCTCCAAGAAGAAGGATGAGAAGAGACTCAACCCTACATTTCCCTTCCAGTAGGATTCAGTTATAACTCTGCAGTCATCAGAGACAAAGAAAACCTTTGACCTATAAAATTACAATGATTTCATGGTGGCTCTGCCCAGCAGTCTCCATCATATCCCCTATCTAACTTTCCCATTCAGCTTTCTCATTATATTATTAGACTTATACATAAAAGCTTCTGCCACACTCAAAGAGGGTCTTTCTTTCAGGTTTGTAATTTATCCTTTCTGCCAGTTTCAACACTGATTGGCCTGCAAAGGTGCTTTTACATAACTCCAAAAACCCATTACAATAAATGGTACTTGATAAACATTCAAGTAATAGCAACTTCTATATAGTTCTGGAGTAGTGCTAAGTAAAAGGCGAAGGCATTTATGCAATCTGGAGAGAAATGAGCATATGCTTCAGTCTTCTTTCCATAAGTAGTGACAGGAAAACCGTCAACCTAAATTTGGAACTGACTCAGTTTTCACTGTGGGGAAATCAAAACAAAACAAAATTTGTTCTTGAAAGTTTTCATTTACTGACTCCTAAGCTTTCTTGAATAACCTGTTAATGTATATTTGTTAATTCATTTCAAGATCACTTTGCAATCTTAAGAAAACACTTTCATACACATTCTGTTACCAAATGCTTGTCAAGTAGACAATGAAAGTACCATCATTTCAACTTTATACATCAAGAAACTGGCTCGGAGGACTAAGTTCACCTGTCTACATTAGGAGCTGAACCAGGACTCAAACCCAGGTCTCCCAACTCCTGATCCTTTTTCTTTTATTATTAGTTTCCCAAATGCAACCTATTTATATATAATCCTCATATTTGCCATGCCATCTGTATTATCATTTACTTCATATTTTTCTTCAAATCAAATATCTTCACTGAAAACATTTATTGAAAAAGAAAGCTTCATATCCCCCCACAAAGGAGAATAAATCGCATTTTTCTAATCTCTAGTAAAATTAAAATGCTAATTTTGGTACCATGGTGTGGAACATAGTAAACTTTTCCATTGCTTACTCAGGCCACTAAGGACTAAATCTCAGTGAACTTTCTATGTGCAAACTCTACAAATGGGAAGAAATGCACAGCTCCACAAATTGAGATAACTCTATTTCTAATATAGGTGGAAAGGACAGATACCAAAAAAGGAACTTGTCAGAATAGATTGAGTTGCAGTCCACTTCCTGGCACAAAGAAAAGAAACAATGGATCCTAACTGAGGGTCATTAACAGCATCACCACTTCGGCTTTACAATTTTGT